GTTGTGTTTACTAGTTGTGTTTACTAGTTGTGTTTACTAGTTGTGTTTACTAGTTGTGTTTACTAGTTGTGTTTTGCGGGGGTTGAGCTCTGCTCTTTCGGCCCGCCTCTCAACTGTCAATCAACTGTTTACTAACTACTTTTTTTTTCCCCCACACCACACACACATCCCATGTGTCTGTCTGTCTGTCTGTCTGTCTGTCTGTCTGTCTGTCTGTCTGTCTGTCTGTCTGTCTGTCTTTGTCACTGTTTGTCTTGGAGTAACTTCGTCATGGTGTATCCTGCTGGGTGTGGTGTTGGGGGGAGGGGGGTGATGGAGGATGGTTGTGGTGGAGGATGCCCCCCCCACCACCACCACCTCCTGCAGACACTCCTGCCGCCACTCTCTCAGACATCCTGCCGGATGGCCTGAAGGTCAGAGGTCATGGCAGATGGCATCTTCCCCATTCAGCATCACTGTCTCGTCTCCGCGTGTTCTCCCACCATCATGGTCACAAGTTCATGCTTTCCTATCCCATGGCCACACTGTCCTATCCCATGGCCACACTGTCCTATCCCAGGGCCACACTGTCCTATCCCAGGGCCACACTGTCCTATCCCAGGGCCACACTGTCCTATCCCAGGGCCACACTGTCCTATCCCATGGCCACACTGTCCTATCCCATGGCCACACTGTCCTATCCCATGGCCACACTGCCCTATCCCATGGCCACACTGTTCTATCCCATGGCCACACTGCCCTATCCCAGGGCCACACTGTGGGATATTTTCCCTGTATCGACCCACCACCACCTTCCCGGAGCCTTAATAATTGTAAATATTAACACAGTCTCCGTTCTACTGCTACACGCCTTCAACATATATGTAGACACTGTTAATGAAAATCATTACCTGGAGTATACCTGAGGAGGGTTCTGAGAGTTCTGCTCCCCTAGCCCGGCTTAAAGGGTGGGGGGGGGGCTGCCTGGCTTGACTTGGTATAAACTTGGTCCAACAGACAGGCCCACATGTCTGCAACAACCTGGTTGCTTCAGCACTTAAATACAAATTAAACTCGTTCCTACGACAAGTCCACCTTTGTTTCGGCAATATTTATAGTGCGTACTGGGAGGGTGTTGAACAGCTGTGGACCTCTGATGTTCAGACAGTGTTCTCTTATTGTGCCTATGGGTGCTATACTGCATTTCCTTCTGTATCTTTCGCTCCAGTATTTTGTTATTATACTGTGCAGATTTGGGACCTGGCCTCCAGTATCTTCCATGTGTGTATTACAAGATATACAAGATACTAAAGGAATATTTAAGGTGGTCAAGAACAGACTTTTTAAATTGAGAGGAAGTATGACTAGAGGACAAGTGCAAGCTCCCAACACCAATGAGTATGCAATGTAAGGAAAGTTGTCGCACCTTGTAAGTGTGACCAAAAGTGAAATTTATTTTTCAAGTCGTGTAGGAATACTAGGGAATAACATTGCAGATGTAGCTGCAAAACTTGCAACGAAAAGAAATGTAGACAGCACAGAGTCTAGCACAGATTAAGAAAATAGTGATAGAGCACTGCAGAAGCTGTACAGTGACCTCAACACGGTAGTTGCAACATCAGGACCTGCGGGTTGGTCCAAGAACTCGAGCAACATGAACCACTTATTTAAATGAGGAAGCAATAGAAAAATGGAACTGCACTTACATCGCATCAGGCCGGGAGACCCATGTGCATGGGAAATAGGCTTACAGGTTCCAGAAGATGAGAGGAAATGTCACCATTGTGGAGACATGGCCGCCAGACCACGGCAACGTGACCTAACACAGTCCACAGTGACACAGTTTGGGGGCTTGATAGCTGAGTGAATAGGGCTCTGGACTCGTAATTCTACGGTCCGGGTTCGATCCCCGGTGATGGCAGAAACAAAATACAGTGTCTTTCACCTTGATGCCCCTGTTACCTAGTAGTAAATAGGTTCCTGGGAGTTAGACAGCAGTTACGGGCTGCTTCCTAGTGAGGGTGTGTGTGTGGGGAGGGGATAAATACAAATTAGTTAGTAGTTAGTAACAGTTGATTAATTGACAGTTGAGATGCGGGCTGAAAGAGCAATGCTCAACCCCAGCAAGCACAACTAAATGAATACATCAAATAAGACTTCAATTGAGATTTAACAGAGCAGTAGAAGCTGCTTTAACACGTTGGGCATAATCTTACTGAAGCGACCATACGAGTCATAAATACTCATACACCGCCTAAATAAGACACAAATGAGAAACGAGTACCACTTAGTGGGTCAGCCAGAGGCTTAGGGCCCGCGCAGGAATATCGTTGCTAAAAAAATATACAAATAAAAGTAAAATGCACTGAAAGAATAAGTTGTGAAAGTCGCCTCCATCCACAACTTTAGGACCAAGTTAGATAAAAAAAAATCAAACTTAAAAATAGTTCAGTTATAAAGCGAGAGGTGCAACAAGGCCAGTTAGAGGCGGGGCCCCAGAGCTAAACCTCACTGCCCATAGTCACAGATATTCGCGATTGTTGTCCAAAGGGCTTGAAAAAGGAAGGGGAGGAGGGAGGAGGACGAGTTGAAGTAGTCACAGACAGACAGGGGCCCCCACCACAACAATCTCTGCCACCACCACCAAATAACACAGCTCAAGTCGAAGCATCCACACATCCGGATAACTTTTTCCAACATCCGGTTTGAAAACTTCAATTTCCGGTGTTGTCGTGAGACGGTCGTCGGCCTCTAGGAAGCGACGACCCCCCCCCCCTCTCCCAGTCAATCTCCATCACCATCCACCCCAATATTTGTGACGCCGTTAACAAGTGTGTGCACATCCACTCCACTGCTAACTTTTCCACAGTGCACACAACACACCGAATGTGGTTAACAGGTTTAGTTAATGGTAGACGTGTTGGGTGGTGGAGGGTGGTTGGTCCTCGCCTTGTTGTGTCCACCGGGGAGTGAGCTCCAGCTCTTGGTGCCCAGCCTACTATTCTGATGGCAGAGTTATGTCTAATCTATCCTTTAAGTTGTGGATGGAGGTGAAAGGCGGGGACAGTGATCACGGGAACCAACTACAGGTCGAGAGAGAACAGGTCGACAGACAACGGGTCGAGCACAAGTAGGCTTCCACAACATAACATTCCACCTGTTGACCAGCCGTACAGGTGCGAGTATTTCCTTACATTCCTTCTACTCGTTTAAGTTCCCAACTTCCAGCTGTGTCCTTTTGTTATGCTTTCTCAATTTAAAGAGGGTGTTCTTGTGCAGGTTGGTGGTGGTGGTGGTGGTAGCGCCAGTACTGGTGCAGGTGGGACGGGGGTTGTGGTGGTCACAACACTGGGTCACCACCCCCGTACTGTGTGGTGCAGTGGAGGCAGGGTTGGGGGGAGGGGGTTGAGGCAGGGAAGCAGTACAGTGTTACTGTACTCGCCTAGTTGTGCTTGCGGGGGTTGAGCTTCGGCTCTTTGATCCAGCCTCTCAACTGTCAATCAACTGGTGTACAGATTGTTGAGACTGCTGGGCTCTCTCAAATCTACATTTAAAACTGTGTATGGAGTCAGCCTCCACCACATCACTGACTAATGCATTCCATCGGTTAACTGTGAATAGCCGAGTTATCCGAGGGATGTCTTGGCTTGTAGTGATCCCTCGTCTATGATGTTACTCTGTCCTACCATGAGCTTGTTAGCTCAGGTATATTCTTGCCTGGGGCTCTGAGCCTGGCCTGTTGTGTCGTGTCAGTGCCTACGGTGCCGTGTGCTGGCACCAACGGGTGCCGCCCCAACAACACGATGCCTGTGAAACGAGCAGCTCTGTACACGCACGAGTCTGGCCACCAATATAGTGTCGGTGTACATTTTCGTTGTGTTGAAGGTTGCCACCAATAAACGGCTGTTGGTCATGCACAATGCTTCAGTTTAATGCAAAACTATCGTTAAAATAGGATTGGTAAACTCAGACTGTGTCCGTAAGGGTGATAATCCCATTACAAGATGAATGTCCCTGCGGTCCTTGCAAGGTCGGAGTTTATCGAGCATTTTTGACATGTTCATTCCCGAAGCCTGTAAATCTTCCCTCCTCATGACGCTCAGAGTACTTGGACAACCTCGCTGCGTCGTTTAGTATACCACAGTAATAACCTTGCCTTGTGAGGTTACCGAGCTAGTAGACTGTTCAATACGTATACATTTGTACAACGCCGCCATTATTAAGCAAAGATGCACAGGCTTCGTTCAGTGATCACGTTAATGCTTGGTGAAGCCAATAGCAGGCCTCTTCTTTGACGGTCTGGTTAATGCTGAAGGAAATTTGCCTTACCGATCTGTAACAGATTCCCTAAACCAGCAAATACTAGAACCAACTAGAAAATAACAAAATCCTGAGCCACCGGGCCGTGGGGACATTGATCCTCGGAACCAAAGTACCGGAAAGGTAAGGTACAGGTGTTACGAGAGCTTTACCTGACGCCTGCTCGCGGGTAGGTCAGACTGGTAGCCTAAATGTAAGTGACAGTTGTAGCCAGGAATGGCCTCCGCCCCGTGACCTGGAGCTCACATATTGGTGATATGAGACACTTACGGTCATCATAAAGAGTTAAGGAAGTGTTGTTGAACCCGGGGCCTTTCCCGCCACACATGACGGGGCGGCCAGGGGGGGCTCGCCTAGTTGTACTCGCCTAGTTATTTGTGCCTGCATGATCCAGCTCTAGCTCTTGGGGCCCCGCTTTTCTAACCGTTGGTTAGCTAATACAATCACTCCTGACCTATTTTTGTATCATACCTGCTTTTAACGTCCTTGAATGGAGTTAGCATCTACAATCTGATCTTTAGGTGTATCACGTGTGTGTGTGTGTGTGTGTGTCGCCTGATAGTGTCCTGAGGTCCAGAGTTGTGAATATATTTTGTTTTAGCACTTTGTGTTGGGTTTTCGGCACGTGTTATTAATTTACAGTTGTGTTGAAGGTTGTAATTGACATGTCATGTTAACAGTGTGTGGTTGTGTTGTTTCAGGTGGGGGTGGTGATGGGCGGGAGAGTAGTGGTGGAGCCGGGGCCGGTGCAGCCTCTGCCAATGGTCACTCCAGCCAGCAGAGCCAGCAGCCACAGCAGCAGCAGCCTCAGCAGCAGCAGCAGGAGCATCAATCCCAGTCAGCCGCCACCAAAAGGAGCCCAGCCCAGAAGGGTATGTAATAACCAGTATTCATGAGGATGAGGACTTTTGTCTGGCGTCCACATCCACACTCTGCTGGGCCTTCCGCCCCTGCTGAAATGTTGAGGCTGTGCCTTGGGATTGAACTCGCGTACGTGGACTCTGCTGGACGCCCAGTTGCAAGTTGGAACCCATTGGATGGCCTAAATATTCTCTTGTAGATCAAGTTATTGTGATTGTGGGTTTATTGTTCATTGTTTTGAATGGCTTCACTGTCATGGTAAACTTGTGTAAACTAACAGATGACAGTTGGTGTGGAGAGTATCAGGAACAGCTGGCGCCACACCGGCAGTGTGGGCCACAGCTGGATACAAAAAAAATATATATAATATAATATACTGGTGTGTGTGTTACAATATAATCTGGGTATATATAATGCCCAGATTAATATAAAGTGTAATAGGTCTCCCACCTTTGGGTCGGTTTAATATTTGTCAATATAGCAACAAATGACGTAATTACTGACACACATTAGGCACAAGGCATTATAGGGTGCCAGTGTGCCAGGGGGGCCGTAATTGCCTCGTGTCAACCCTCCCCTCTACTTGATGGGTCCTGTTTGGCCCACTTTAAGTTGCTAACAAAGTTATTTAAGTTCTAGATTATTATTTTTCATAAATAAATTAAATTTTTTCGTTTCTTTTTCTCGCCAAATTATTTTTGTCGGCTAATTTATACATCATGATTTGTAGAGCATGTTTGTGTGACTCTGTTGTCAACATAGAGCCCGTGTGTACTGTTGTGGTACTTGTTAGCGCACACGAGGTGGTTAGTGGTGGTGTTTGTGATGAATGGTTCGAGTGTTGTGGTGGTGATCTTGAGGGCTGTTGCTACCCGCACAGGGCACACGTTGCTGGGAGTTGCTTGTTATGAGGGTGTTGGTTCGCAAGCTTCCCATAGTGATCAGTTGATCAGTTGACTGGTTGATCAGTCCAGCAACCAGGAGGCCTGGTCGACGACCGGGCCGCGGGGACGCTAAGCCCCGGAAGCACCTCAAGGTAAGGTAGTGTGAGGGTGTTGTGTGGGGCAGGCCGCTTCCTGGTGGCACTGTTGGTGGCACTGGCCCTCTTGTTGGCCGGCCAGGGGGGGGGCCTAGAGGCTACCCCTCACCCCCTTCCTCCCGCCTCAACCACCGCATATCTAACGTATACCTTATCTTGGTTATATATATCAAAATTGCTTAAATACTTTCATGGTATAACATTAATATTTTGTCTGTTGTGGTCCACAATGTTTGTGGGGGTCCCCATGAGTGGGGCTGTTATGAAACAAGCAAGGCTGAATACATCTGACCTATCTTACGTGGTTACAGTAGTAAATGTACTGTGCTTCATCTAGCAAGTCTAGGGTAAGGCGGTATCTATAATTTAATATATAATTATTGGTAATGGGTTATGTGGAGACCTCGGGAGACCAGGCAAGGGACCTCTGGTGGCGAGCCCTTACACCTTTGGTCTCAGGTTATCTTGAGATGATAAGAACATGAGAATAATGGTAACTGCAGAAGGCCTATTGCCCCCATACGATGATTTCGGGGCTTGGTGTCCCCGCGGCCCGGTCCTCGACCAGGCCTCCTTTTAAAGTGTTGTAAGGGGGGGGGTGAGGGTGTCGCTGAGGTGGGTGGGGGGGTGAGGGTGTCGCTGAGGTGGGTGGGGGGGGGGGGAGGTAATAATGTGAGGGTCAGGGCAGTAATATGGCTCGGTGACATTAATATGATAGGCGAGGCCTTTGTCTCTGTGTGGCATAACGGTGGCTGCCAGATGCACAAAGTGGCGTTGTTGTGGGGCAGCAAATATTCCGTTGCCCGAGGGCCACCATCTCCGATGGCCTCGGCGGGAACAGGAAGCCGACGATTTGTCAAATGCCTCCAATAGCATAGAGGACAGTACCAATAGTGTGATTTTGGAACTGAAAATTCTACATAGGGAGAGTACGAAACGTCCAGCAGGAAGCGGGTCATTCTAAGTGCCAGAGTTGGACTGGGATATTGTTACGTGTGGCAGTAAGCATTATAAATATTGCCGGAATAAAGATGGATGTCCCCAGGCCGGAGTCTGGGAGAACAACAACTGCCGAAACCCTCTGCAGGTATGTTCCAGGTATGCTGGTGGCTGCAGGTAATGACGCCTCAGTGAGCACTTCCATTGTAAACTATGTAAACAAGAGACAGGAGGTTCTTCAACCAGGAGCAGCTGTTAATTTATTTATTTGGGATATTTGTATAGTGAAAGTTTACCAGAGTAGACTAGACCCCGTGTCATGTATGGCCAAGCATCTTCCGACGTGCAGGCTGCACCAGGCAACACTGTCATCACAAGGTAATAATGTTCCCAGACCGGGCATAGTGTATTGCAACTCTCGAAACTCACTACAGGTAAATTATACAAGTGCATTACCTGACCAGAATAGGTTATAACCTTAAACAAAAGAGCATCCTTCATCCAGCAGTGTTGGGCAGGATAAGCCATCATGATAACACTGATATTTGTGCCTTTAACTCTTCCCTGTCAGTGTGGGTGCGGGCCGACGCAAGCCTCATTAAAATTAGCATGACTAGTGTTTGGTGAAGCATCGCAGGGTGACGGTGGAGCCGCCGGGGAGACACACGGCCCTCATTATATTCCCTCCAGGGTGAGAATGCGGTTATAGGCTTGTGTAACATATATAGCACGAGGGTGATGGCACAAGGGTTCCTATATATAGAGGGAAGGGTTGGGAGGGAGAGAGGGAGGGAAGATACTGGTCTTCCAGTATCTTACTTATGTTGTCACTTAACATTTATGTCTACAACTGATATGAGAATATGGGAATGTAAGAGAGCAGTTGTGTAAGGACTGTGCCCCGAGGTACACAACTTTTCACTGCGATTCGAATTTATGTTGTTCGCTTGACTGTTACTCTTCGCATTCTGTTTGACAGGAAATTGAATATCCATCGCCCTATTTTACCTGTTGTTTGATAGGCTATGACTCCGTGGTCGCCCGTGGCTATGCCTATATACAGCTAGTCTACTGTACTAGCTGTACAAGAATGTAAGAACTCTTGTATATATAAATATATAAGTATATTTTGGTAGCAGTCTTTCCTGTAGACATATATTATTAAATATGGCCGAAAACTTTTCGGTCATATTTAATAATAAATATATAAATAAATAAATGTCGTCCTGTGTGTGTGAACCTTCACTTTTAAGTGTAGGTCCATCACTGGTGGAGGTTTATGATGTTTTTTTTGAATGTGAAAATATTTTGGATTTCTTTTTATTTCTTCCATAGCTTTCTGCTCCAGTTGCATCTTCTGCTCTATTTCTTCCATCTCCTTATTCACATTAGCTTTCCTTTGTTGGAATATTCGGGTCTGCTTAAGTAATTAGGTTTTTATGTTTTGTAGTGTCGGTTGTGTTCGGGAGTAGAACAATGTTCGTGAAGCCCTCTACGGGTATACTCTTGCTATGCTCCTGTCTGTCTGTCTGTTCCCAGCATTTGTGTGTTCTGCCGTTTCTGTCTGCCCCTAAAAACTTTCAGACATCATATTCGTCCCGTCTATAATGCTATTTCTCTCTCAGGTGGAAGTCTGGTACTCAAGATGGGGGCTCTCTTGCGAGACATATACTCTCTTGCTCCTTTCCCAAATATAATCCAGCGTTTTATGCCTTTGGTTCCATATACCTTTGTTATATTTGCACATTTTGTCATGTGTGGCTTTTCGTCCGGTGTATGTGTGTGTTTGCGATCTTATATTTGCAACACTAGTCCTCGGAGCTACCTGTGTTTGTTGGCCTAGTCTGTTTGTTTACACTTGCCATGTTTCCCACTGTGGGTCCCGGTGCTGCTGTTGATGTTTGGCGCCAAGTATTGTCCACCATAGCCCGGACCAACCGGGCTGTGGTGGGTATGTGGCCCTGTGGGCCGCTCCAAGCAACAGCCTAGTGGACCAAACTCTCTCAAGTCAAGCCTGGCCTCGGGCCGGGCTTGGGGGAGTAGAAGAACTCCCAGAACCCCGTCAACCAGGTATCAAGCAGGTATTGCTGATATTGTGTTCCTCCACGCGGCTCTGATTATTATTCCGCTTCTCTCAACCACAAGTTACCGCGGTTTGTTCGCGCTCCAGCGTTTATTTTTTTTACTTCTTATATATATACACCTGGTAAGGGAAGTTGTCAGGTGTTACCTATGTGCGTCAGGTATGTCTCGCATACATCTGACTAGGTTTGTCCACATTGGTCGGTGACTAAGAAATCCAGCACGTTCCACTTTTGTGTGTGTGGGAGTCGGCATCACAGACCTGGTGGCCAGGTCATCTGTCCTTAGTTATTGACTGTCTCCTGCAGCCTCCTCCTCCTCCTCCTGCTGTCCCGTGCACACCAGGCCCCCTTCCCCTGTGTGTCCGAGCACCAGCCCCTAGTGTGCCACCTCCCCCCATCACCCCAGTCCCCAGTGTGTGGCTTCACCCTAGACCCCAGCGCGCGTGTCCTCCGCCATAACGAGAGTGGTGCATTAATTTAGCAGATGGTGTGGGAGCATGGCTGGTAGGGGTGTTGGGCCGGTTTGTATGTTGAGACGGCAGCTGGTGCACTGCATTCACAGCTTCCCCCCCCTGGTCTCACAGCTGCCCGCCCTCCTGTTCTCACAGCTGGGGGGCGCCCCCTGTTCTCACAGCTGGGGGGCGCCCCCTGTTCTCACAGCTGGGGGGCGCCCCCTGTTCTCACAGCTGGGGGGCGCCCCCTGTTCTCACAGCTGGGGGGCGCCCCCTGTTCTCACAGCTGGGGGGCGCCCCCTGTTCTCACAGCTGGGGGGCGCCCCCTGTTCTCACAGCTGGGGGGCGCCCCCTGTTCTCACAGCTGGGGGGCGCCCCCTGTTCTCACAGCTGGGGGGCGCCCCCCGTTCTCACAGCTGGGAACCCCTCCACAATCCTCCGCTCAAATTCAAAGTAGTATAACCATTTAATTAAGCAAGATTGGGTTATATTTCTTTCAATAAAAGACTTGGTGGTCCAAGCTTGTGCGTTAATACAGTTAACCAGATGGCCGAAAACTCGCAAGTGAACACAGAGAGCATTAGAAGTATAGAATATTTATGCTGGCTTAACTGTCAAAGAATGTCCGGAACTGCCCAGTGTAAACCTTACCACATCTTGCGAGATATCTCAAACACGCATCAATCAAAATCAGCAGGAGAATTATTAATAGATATGTATTATCTATTTGTTGATTTTAAACGGGACAGTAATCTTAAAATTCTTAAGCGTGTGCGCGATTGTGTACAAGTTTTCCATGTAAGGGAGGTCTGTCATTTCTGAAGGACTGGATCACTCTACGATTAGGGTTATAGAATGTTTTCTTAGTGTGTTTCAGTGTTGTATCTGTAACTGATGTGTGCACGGTGTCATGCTGGTGTATTAAGAGTGTGTATCCGTTGCTGTGTAGCAAACATGAACATTACTAAGGTCCCTCCTCCCATCTCCCTTCTCTTTCGTTTTCTCTTCCTTCACCACTCTCTCCTTTCTCCCATATTTCTCCCACTCGCTTCGTCTCACCATTGCCACAAGAGACAATCATGTCGTGTCTGGCGTTTTATATACTGTATAAAGAGCGGCGCTCCACCACGTGTGGGTCATAATGTGAAGTTGCTTTTAGTAAATCACATTTACCAACAGTAAAACTTGGAGGGCGGGCATCCCAGCGGTGGCCCGTGCGCGCGCTCAGCGGCCTGCCCGCCACAGTCACTTGTTCTTCATAAACAACTTCAGATACGGTGGTTATGGTGATGCGTCTAGTGGTCGTCTTGTGTTTGGCGAGCGTCTTTCTCGCCGACTTCCTTCTGGGAGACACGAAGGAAGTGATGATGCCTTCCTTATAGGCCAGAAGCTGTCTTTGTGCAAAATTATTAAGACTGAGGAAAGTAAATTTCAGTTAAGACCTGGGTAAATACTCGTTTCTAAACAGGGTTGTTGATTTGTGGAACAGATTACCGGGTAATATAATTGACTTAGGATCACTTGGTTGTTTCAAGCGTAGATTAGACATGTATAAATAAGCTTGCAAGAATAATCACAAACACGTGATTCGGTTTTGTTTAAGTAGCCACTTGGTCGAACTTCTCGTGTTCATATTCCTAAGTGGATACTTAGGCATAAATAAGCTTATGTGGATATTAGTACGAGCTGCCTCGTATTGACCAATAGCTCCGTATGTTCCGAGGATCAACGTCCCCGCGGCCCGGTCATTGACCAGGCCTCCTGGTTGGTGGTCTGGTCAACTAGGCAGTTAGACGCGACTGCTCCACCTCCTGACGTACGATCACAGTCTGGCTGATCGTGTAAACCAATGAAGCAGTTTACATGATCAACTCGTGCGCTTTTGACGCAAGGAACCCATTATGGTAATATTTACCTAGAAATGTGGTGCTAGGAAACAGATTTCACTTCTGATATTGAAGCAGCACTTAACTTGCTTCATGCAGGCGTGTGCTGCCTCTAGACTTGAATTATTATGAGACGAGGTGAACAGTTACTATGGGTGAGTGCCCGGCCTCCCTCCACAGCTCCCTCCTGCTTTCTCCATCTCATTCCACAGAAACGTTTCAACTGGTAATAAGAATTTGTCATAATTTAGCACTTTTGGACTTTCTCTTCCTCTGTTTTAGCTTTTATTTTAGGTCTTTGATGCTCGTACACATTTAGGTCAACATGCCAACGTCTTATGCTCGGACACCAACATGAGGAAGATGTGTGTATGTACAGTGTAAACCTGTCGTGGTGGAGTGGTCTAGGACGTGTGCGGCCGAGCTGGGGAAGGGATGTGGAGTGGTTGTCACATGTGCACATGTGCGTGCCTGTGTTCCCATATACATACATAACTTGTCACCGAGCGAGTATGCAAGCATATCTAAACTAGTGTGTCCATTTCTAATATTAAAGAACTGTGTCTGACGGGGCTTGTTTTGAGTGTAGGGCAGGTGTCATTTTCCCTGACGACGAACGACATCGACATAGGCGAGGGCGGGGTGGAGGGAGGCAGCCGTGGTCCACCAGTAGCAGCAGCAGCAGGAGCAGCAGATGGCACAAGTAGCCATGGCCTGCCTCCTCTTCCCCGGGGTCACAAAGACCGATGGTCGTGTAGTCTGGACACCACAGGTAGCCTACAACCTCCACCATATAACCATTGGCCAGCATCATAACGACCAGAGATGCGCTGCCTAGCTGCGTCAGCCTCCTCTATGTTGCGCTTAGCGTCTCTCGTGTTCACGTGTGGTAGTGGGCGTTGCGGTCGCTTACATATAGTGCTGGAGTGGCGATGCCTCTTGTCAGTTTTGTAGATTTACTTAGACCATTTTTGCTAGACTAAACAATTTGTGTGATGTATACAAAATATATGTATACTGTCAGTCACTTCCTGTCCATCGTCCTCCGTGTCCTCCCCCCCCCCCACCCACTTTCCACTCTACTGATCTCTCTCTTGTATCTATCCTTCCACCCCCCCCCCTCTCTCCCCCCACTTTCCACTCTACTGATCTCTCTCTTGTATCTATCCTTCCACCCCCCCCTCTCTCCCCCCACTCTGTGTAAGGCCTTCACAAACATATATGTGTAGTAGCAAGAAAGTGCATCATTACATGTGTACTCGAGTGTGTCCCACCTGTTACCAAGTCTCGAAACTGATATCGTGCGTGTGCGCACACGTATGAATATTGAATTCTTCATTGGAGCTAAAACTAACTTAGCAGCTTGTCAGTTTTAGTATGCTAGATCTCTGATCTCAAATCTCTGCCTGTTGTTTGTAAAGGTAGGCCTAAATTAATATAGAATAACTGTATATTTAATTTTTAAAATTTTTAGCATTTTTTGTATTTTGCTAACAAAAATTTAACTTGTGGATGTGTTATTGTGTGGATATTAAAGGATTGTCCTTCACTTTTATGTTGAATTCTCATTATTATCCAAGTTGCAAAGATCTAGAGAAACTGGGTGACCCTTACAGTTCACCAGCAAGCAGCAGATGCACTAAGGAAGATCTAGAAGCAGCTAAAAGCTAATAGATAGAAGAAAAATAGGCGATATGATCACTATTTAGAAAATAGAAACAGGAATTGACAAAATTGACTGAGGAATTCTTGAAACCAGCAGCAACTTCTAGTAGTAGTAGTCATAAGATTTAAGCCAAGATGGCAAAGGTACCGGAAAAAAAATTGGAAAGTTCTCTTTTACGAACAGAGTGGGAGACTGTTGGAACAAGCTGAGTGAGGAGGTGAATGCCAAAACTGTTATATGCTAGACAGTTCTGGGAAGACAGGAAACCATGAGCATAGCTCTCGTTCTGACACTACACTTAGGTAGTTACACTCGAGCAACAATTTGATGTGGTTCCTGGTCTGTTTATCTGTGAGTGGCGGTGGGGGGGGGGCGGGTCTACAGGTCTAATAACCAGAGTAATATTTAATGTTTACAAATATCTATGCACAAAATTAGCTTTATCTTAATAAAATTAACATATTTAATTTATTGCATTAATTTTTAATTTAATTAGACCTAATTTTACCTATTTTGCTTAACATACATATTTTATAACCGCCTCTCTCTGCCTTTCGCTCGCTTTCTCTTTCTCCCCTCCCCCCCCATCTCTCCCCCTCCCTCCCCCCATCTCTCCCCCTCCCTCCCCCCATCTCTCCCCCTCCCTCCCCCCATCTCTCCCCCTCCCTCCCCCCATCTCTCCCCCTCCCTCCCCCCATCTCTCCCCCTCCCTCCCCCCATCTCTCCCCCTCCCTCCCCCCATCTCTCCCCCTCCCTCCCCCATCTCTCCCCCTCCCTCCCCCCATCTCTCCCCCTCCCTCCCCCCATCTCTCTTTCCCCCCTCCCCCCATCTCTCCCCCCTCCCTCTCCTGGTCAGTCTGTTAAAAGTTTTTGTATTTTCTGGTGTACAGTATTTATTTTTTCAATATTAACATTTTTTAGAACCGCACCCTCCAAATTTTGTGTTTACATAATACTTCATATTTTTAGATAACCTCATTTTGTTTACCTTTCTTTTCATATATTTCTTTCTGATACACATCTGCAACTGCTGCTACTCTAATTTTACCTGTGGTACCCAAATCATGCAGCTCTTTGGCAACAAATAATGCTAGATATATTAATATGGTGAGGTGCAAAGGAATGTGTGCAATAAAGAGGGTGGTGCAGAAGGTGAGCTAGCTGTTGGTGTTGTGAAGGGTCTCACCTGGCGAGAGCTGTGGCCGGCCGCCACTCGTGCTAGGGATGTGGTGCCTTCCACTGGCTGCCGCCTCATGCTTCACTTGTCTCCCCCTCAGATTCTTATTGGTTTGCACAAGATGATAACACACCGCCTGGTAAACAACATAGAGCTTCATTGGCAGGCCCTAATGACCTAATTTTTGGAGAAGGTATTGTTATATTTTTAAACAAAACCCCAACTAACCTAGAATGTTCTCTTCATATGGAAGTGCTTTTTTCCATTCTTTTGTCAGTCAGCCAATTTCTTACCCATGAGGGTGACTCTTGAGACTAGAAATGACAAACATTAACATTTTAGGACCATTCTAAGCTATACTATAAATTAATGCAAAAAAAAAAGTACAAAGTGATAATGGCAAAGTACAGTACAGTGTACTTTGGATTCACTATTGATAGCTTGACATTAATATGCATGAAGTGATGCTTGTTGTCTCCTACTGTATGTGTATGTAGTACTTTGAACATTACTGAAAATGTTGGTGCCATAATTCTTAAGTTTACCTCAAGCCATATGTTGGATTATTGTCAAATTCTCCGCCTAACATTCAGATACTGCTATCCTATATACTACTTGCATCGTTATGCAGCAAGTGCTATTCCTTGTTATTTTCTTTTATTTAATATTTTAAGTTTATTTAAATTTTCATATTTAAAATATTGTTTTCAAAAGTTTTTTATTACATACAGTATTGACGATGGGCAGAAAAGTATCTAATAAAGCTGGTTTATATTTCCAAACATTAGGTGTTACCCTGCCTTCAAACCAGAATAAAATATGCACAAGTGGTCTTGTGCATTCTGTTCATAAAGAGTTCCTCATAGACCTTGAAGCGTATGTTGCTGCGGCGCTATACACCATTTTTGTGTGTTACTTAATGCAGTTTTAATATTTTAACATTTACTTATACAGTACTGTATAAGTATTTCACTATGGGAGGATGTATGAGTGGAATGGATAGTGTTGTATTAACTGAAACTTATATGCATGTGAGAAGTCTTGCATGGTTTGGTTTTACTGTATGTTGAATAATTTGTGACTGTAGCATTGATATAGGAGTAGTGTTCATTTATTTATTGGCTTTATTTCTTTATTTTGTATGTGTTGATCACTGTATTACATATGTATACATAGTACAGTATGTATAATCAGCAAGAGAGGTAAATTTCAAAGCTTAACTTGCACCTTTTATTAAGGTTAAAATGTTATACATATACACATACACGTGTGTATATACTGTGTGTATATGTATACCTGCATGTGTGTATATACTGTATATGTATATATACATACATACACTGTATATGTATATACTGTATATAAATAATTTCAATTTATTTACATCTGTTGCAAATCATCAGAGGCATGAACAAAATCACAAGACTAGCATAAATAAGCCTCAATTGAAATACAATATTTGTAATTTGATTGCTAAATAAGGAGCCTCTTCAACTGGCATCTGCTGTGCAGAAATTTATTGAATGAAATAAATATATAGTGTATATACTGTATATGTAATATAATGCAAAACCTGAGTACCATTAATTGATAGACCGAGTAACCTTGTTAAAAGACAGTTACTATATTTCAGATGACAAGTCCTCTGGTCTGTCTTACAAAGACAGAGAAGAAAGGCTGCGGCAGCTGAGGGAGAGGCAGCAGCTGGAGAAGCAGCAGAAGCTTGAGGAACTCAAGGAACAAGTGAGTTGGCCACATGAACCCAACAATTATGCATGTGGGATGCACCCTAGTACTGTACTGTCACTTGTTTTAATCACCTTTACCCACTCTGCAATTATTGCACAAATGACCGTGTTCTCCAAGAGAATACAATGGCAATCCCATTATTTGCACTAGGAATTTAAATACAATTTTGAAGATTGCTTTGCATTATTGTGTACTGTACACAAAGTTGAGTAAACAGAAACAATTAAGAGCATACTTTCCAAAGTGCTTTCGAAGGCTTGACTCGTACAGCATTTTCACTCAGGGTGCTGTCATTGAGCAAAATGCCAGGTACAGAAGGCTTATTGTTTAGTTTTTTTATTTGTTAATCATTAGGGTGCTAACAATGCTTATAAGCTTCTTTTGGTAGTTAAACTTAATTTGCTTTCCATATTTATAAATGGTGGTAGTGGTAATGATTCTACCTCTAAATTTAAGCCAATAAGAACAGATGTCTGCAGTACCACAGGTGCGGGTTAATTTACCGGTGATTCATTTGATTATTATTTAAAGAGATCGTATTTAGCACTTGTACGGTATTTGGTACTTGGTTAACATAGCCTAACCCACAATTGTATCTTGCATATACATACAGTAATTAAATACAGTATACAGTATGAAAAGAGAAGTGTGTGATGACTTTTGGCTCCTGCTGAACTCGAGTTACAATCACTTTTATCAGGGTTGAGACCTGATAAGAGTCCTGGACAAGTCAAAACAGTCACATTTGTTTCCTTTCATATGTGTGGGGTTCAGTTACTTATTTTCAACCACAATACAGTACTGTATTCACTACAATTGGTCAAAATTAATTTAGGCTATTCTTGGTATCATAAATTATGATTGAATTGTCTGAGCAAGGAAGGAGGATATGATTTTAAACATGAAAATCTCCTTTTAGATATCAGGGTTGAATGTAAAAATGTATCAAATTTTTATTTTGGAGAAAACTCATTGAATTAAGTGCTTTTTGTTAAAAAGATGTATATTTTGTAAGAGCTACTGAGGAATTATCATATGTACAAGCTCCGCAATAAGAACACTGTGAAAGAAATGAGAATCAATTGAGGCAACAAGGTGACTCGAATAACCGGTGAAGGTACTCCCAGGTGCGCATCTTACCCCTTTACCCTGAAGAACAATGTGTCTTTAGTTCCACAAGGGGTGAAAAGGGCTTCCTCAGACATATTGCAAAATAATAGAGGTCATGGTTTCTCTGTTCATGGTAAACTCGGGTAAACAGAGATACAGTACAGCAAAAATGTCTTTCAGACATCATTGCAATTTCTATTTGAAGGGTTCTTTAATTTGTAAAGTTTTAAATTTTATTGACCAAAAATGAGAAAGTGTTGTATATTTTTTGTTAATACTGTACTGTGTGTAGATGTTGCATTATTAAATATTTTTATGTGACGGTAAATGCACCATAAAACCTTTAATTTTGATGATTTTTAAACTTAAAATTATGTACATGTATTTAGTCTTTATTTTATGTTCCTTATTTTTCAACATAAGTGTAAAGTCTTAATTCAAGCTGCTTTTACTAATGTCTGCATTTTTAGTATTTGTTGATAGTTAAGTACTGTATGAAACAATACTTTTAAGCTCTTCGTAATTCCTCAAAAATATTAAAAAGAGCATTCGCCTGTCAATCTGTTAGTGACTTCCACTTTAACCAAACTGATTACAACACAAAACATTTTGCACAAATTTGATGTACTGTGTTTATCTCTTTATACATTTCAGCATATAGTGTAGTTTGTCTTTTAATTCTTGAAGGTATTTTAAGTCCAGAAGATACTTTATTTTGAGGGTGTCTTCTAAAGTAGGAGACCCAAAAGGAACAAGGCATCACAGGTGTAGATATCGATAGATTGGTTTATAATAAGTGTGTGTATCGCTGTGTGCTAAATCCTGCATTATGCTAACACTGGTCAATAATTCATCGTGTAGCTCATCACTTGGTAACACAAGTACAGGTAGTGCTTCCCTCAAAGTTGTTTGCACAAAGACTAGACTCACATGAAATATATGCTTTACCATTGAAGTTGCAATATATGTAATAGAGGGTATGTTAGTGTACTTTACACACACACACACACACACACACACACACACACACACACACACACACACACACACACACACACACACACACACACACACTGTAGTGTAAAGTAAATTAACTTTGGCAGCTCTCATTTACATGAAGTTTAAAAACAAAATTTAATCATCATACTGTAGAGCCAGTACTTGTCTGTGCATATTCATTCCATTATAAAACTAGCATATGCATATAAATCCTTAAATTACTGCATTATTTCCATGTTTTCTTTGGTAATAAATATGTATTATATGCAAATTAAAAGTGGTACAGTATGCACATTTGAAACTTGCATTATTTATTGTCAAATTTTCATTAACAAGTACCGTGCTGTGCAGGAGGAGAACGTGCTATGGTCGGTAATGCCCTAATGTTGTTATTTTTACTTACTGTACTACCATACAAAAGGGCCTCCACTCCAAGGTATGCCCGGTGCTTCTCTGCTTCCTTCTTGTCTATCTTTGTACATGCTGTATATACATAGCCAGGGATTTGATTTAGGAAATTTTAGATGTTGAATGCAATTGTCTATTGTGCTTAGTTTATTAATCAATTTAAATTAATATAGTACTCGATCAGAATAATGCATCAGTTAATTTTGCTAAAGAGTATGTCATATACCGTACAGTATATTTTGTGGAATGTATTTACTGTATAACAAATTTAAATGTTACTTTTGATTAGTGTATAATGCATATTGTTGTAATTTTTTGGGGAGGTCAAAATCAGTGTGGGTGGGTGGGTATATATGTATGTATGTAAATGGATGGATGGATGGATGGATTTGTGAGAAAGATTCCCTATTTTTTGGCAATAGTGAAAGAACTACAGTAATGCTTCTGGCATCCCATCTTTATAAATTTATAATACAATGCTAAATATTTTGAATTTTTCCATGATTTTTAACCCTTAAACTATTGCTGTCAATCTCAGACAATAAACCGATGATGATCCTGTCACCTGTAGATGATTTAATGTGCACATAATACTCGGTTCCTAATATTCCGTGGACATCTATCAACAATAAGAGATCTCTGGCAATTGTTTGCCATATTAGGAAAAATTCTGAAAGCCTTGGTTATCATCTTGTAATTACCCTAATGTAGTTACAGTAAGATAACCAAGGTGTATCGTCGTTCATTTACCAATTTGGTACTCGGTGGAATTGTCACCATGCAAAATTTCAAGGACACTTACAGGCCAGGAAGATATTTGTCATAAGGAGAAATCTACTGAAAATAGTTTACTTGAGAATGAATTCTCAGAATTTGACATTTTCAACTTCACCTCACTGCGGAAATGCAAATTATTAAATAGTTTTCCATGGCATCAAAACTTAATGTTTTAAGATAAAAAGGAGAAATATTTTAAATATTTGTTTAAACACACCATGAAAATTATCTCAAAATGGATGTGCAGGTTCAAGGTTGAGTCATTTCAACCATCTCATTAATATAAAAAAAAAAAAAAATTGTAGTTGCTACACAATTTTTTTAGTAATGGTAGGTCTCCTAAAGGAGTCCTTGACATAGCTACTTGGATTACCTTACCTTGAGGTGATTCTGGGGCTCAGCGACCCCGCGGCCTGGTCGTCGACCAGGCCTCCTCGTTGCTGGACTGGTCAACCAGGCTGTTAGACGCAGCTGCTCGCAGCCTGACGTACGAGTCACAGCCTGGCTGATCAGGTATCCTTTGGAGATAGCGGGATAGCGGAATTGAGTGGATAACTCCACTCAATTCATGCCAGGCCTTTACGAGTCATTATTGCTTTATGACGAGTGGCAATTAGACACCTTCTCCAATTGAATTTAAATTGAAACTGAAATAAGTTTGAGATATAAATACACTCAAAGGGGTAAAGTAGTGCAACCTGTTCTCACCCGATTCAATACAGCGTGTTTATATATATTTATGAATACAGTATATATTCATAATAGTTCATATATCATTAATTTGGCACTGGTCACTTTGCCAAAGTTTGAGCGATGGCATTTCTTCTGTTCAGATTTATATTTGTTCAATGTACATGAAGGTAGGCATTGCTGCTATATATTCATAGCTTATGTTTTTTAACCTTCAATTTCATTGCACCAGCCAGTTCCTTCTCTAATATGTTCCACTCTCAGTTTTGGTTGCTGTATTCCTCTTTTATGAATCATGCATCCCAGCTATTTAACAGCATCAAGCACTCTGGAGTATTTTACTCTTGACAATCACTTCTCTCTCATTCTCTCCCTACCACCATAACTTTACTTTTGTCATTAGCAACTTTAAAAATATTTTTCTAATGCACATCAAGAAAATGTTAGATTACTGTAATGCATTCACCATAAATCTCTTTACTACTAAAAAAAAACTATATACTGTAATAGATGTACAGCACATAATATTTTTTATTTTTTTATTTTCATTAGTGATGGGTTTCGTGTATGTGAATACAGTACTTAAATGTAGTTACAGGATTGGGAGCTACTTTTGTGGTATTCCCACTTTCTGTATAGTATGTTGTATGACTTCTTGAAACTTCCACTGCTTTTATTTGTGTGATTGTTTTTGAATGTATATGTACCGGCATACCTGCTTGATGGGGTTCTGGGAGTTCTTCTACTCCCCAAGCTCAGCCGGAGGCCATGATTGACTTGAGAGCTTGGTTCAACAGGCTGTTGCTTGAAGTGGCCCGCAGGCATGCATGTACAGTATTGTGTGTGTGTGTGTGTGTGTTTACCGGCATGCATGTGTTGGCAGGGAACTTCAAACTTCACACTGATGCAATTGTTTTGATCTCTATTGCAGTGATGACAAAATTGTACATCATTTCAAATTATTATTAATTTAGTTATACTTTATCCTGGATTAGTTTGATTTATTAAACTATGCACAACTTTGACATATTATTAGTAAATATTTTTATTATGCAGTGGGCTCCCAATTCTATGTGGGAATACTTAACCTTAATACCACATGAAGAATTAAATGGGGTAAAATTTTCTTAACAACCTTATGGGAATAAATGCTGCATTCCAGAAAAATTAAATTTAAACGTTAATATGAATAGCGTGTGTACTAAAGACTAGCTTTGTTTGAAGGCAATATGTACTTTTGTTATAAAGCTCCTTTCTGAGCAATGCATTCTGTTGGTCCTTTAATTAAGACTCTGTTCCTTACATGTTCCTATGCATTGTCAGGGAAGCTCAATATGCCACACATGCACAACAGAGATCTTTTCAACCGTCCCTGTCAGCACATTCTGATGCATGAGAGACACTGAAATGTACTCAATCCTACCTGGAATGATCTCGAGAAGGCTCGTTAAAGTACAGTGCAGTACACTTAAATGAGATCAAACCAGAATGCTGGAGTAAAGCATGAAGCTCACCAATCCTGTTGCTCAAAGCTAATGCCAACAAAAACAAAGCCATCACATGTACAGTATTTATAATCATTATTTCTAATCAATTCAATGTTTGTGAAAATAAGAATGTTTTCTACTTGGTTCTGCTATTGGTTTAAGACAAATCCATTATGTATCCATAAGTCATTTGTGTGTGACTGTTTATTTAGACTGCTTTCTGGGATTCTCTCTAGTGTAACTGTCAGATTTTCACATTTTGGGTGCTGTAAGTTGGTCATGAAACAATGTTTTAGACTGGATTAGTAGGGATTTTTTAATTTTTAAATAATAAAAAATGGCCATCATTTACCGGTAGTCTCTCTTAGGTAAGCACCACTACTGCTCGTACTCCCACCATCCTTAACACCACCACTGCCTATGCTGCCACAACCACTGCCTATGACACAATGCCTACAACCACTTTTCACACTTGACCTTGCATTGATTCCAAGGGTCTAGGTCCCCATGGCCCAGTCTCTGACCAGCCTCGGTCAACCAGGTCTTGGTTCGATGGTCTGGTTAACCAGGCTGTTGGACGCAGCTGCTTGCAGCCTGACGTATGAATCTCAGCCTGGTTGATCAGGTATCCATCCTCTGGAGGTGTTTATAAAGTTCTCTCTTGAATTCTGTGAGGGGGTCAGCCAGTTATGCCCCCTTATGTGTGGTGGAAGCATCATAAAAAGGCATAACTAGGCATACTTTTTTTTTTTTTTACCGCATTGTGTCAGTCACTGCCCACGCTACTACAACCGCTGCCTGTGTCACCACCCACACCACAGTTGCACACACAACCATCATTAATCATCCACACCACAATTATCTTTTGTCTCTAATTCTTGATTTGATTGGCTGGCAGTATGGCTTTGCATCACTAATGATTTCCCTAATAGCTTCAAAACTGCATTCCCATTGGTTGTTTTATAAACACAGTTTTATTCTTAGCACTGATGCTTTGCATCACTGTGCTAAATTTAAATTTTAATTTTATTCAATATTTTAATGGTTTAAATTATTTTATTGCTTAGAAGAAAAACACATGAACAATTCATAGAGTTGGGGGTCTACTGTACTGTGTATTTAATAGCTGAAAAAATTTTGGTGTTGATGCTGTCTAGGTGTATGTGATTTTTGAATATTGTAGTCACTTGCTAAAAGTAGAATATAAAGTAAAGAAAATTTTTTACAGTGTCTTCCTTTGGTTGTCATTGGGCCAACTGAAGACAAGTTCTGAAACTAAACTAATTTGTCTTTTTAATAGTTTGTGCATTATCAGGCAGTTTGTAAGGTGTTGTTCCCACTTTTTCTTCTTAGTGGTGCTTGTTTTGTCCCAGTTATATTGAAATGTTGTTGTAATTGTTATTATATCTGTTTAACACAATACACTCTAGTGTACAATGTTTTTAGTCCTATGTAATGGTTTTCAAATAATTAAGAAGCATACTTCAGACTCTCCTTTCATTAATGTTTAAATTATATTACATTATATTACATCAGTCATTGTTATGTAAAGAAAGGTATTTCCTGTGTTTGGTATTTCAGTGGAATACGGTTGTGAAACATATCAGTTATAATAATCTTAAAAAAAGAACTCATACGAGTTTTTTTTTTATAAATACTGTACACCCTTTTTTTATACACACATTTTGATGCTTTGTAGCTTGTACTGTATAAGACAAAAAGCACCTTTTTTTTTTATTTTTTTTTTATTTTTGCAAATATATTTTTTTGTTTTGAGTAATAGCCTTTGTATAAAATTTTGTTCCTTAAATGTTTATTGCCACTGTTTTCAGGCGGCAGCAGCACAACGTTTCCGAGAACAACAGGAAAACGAAAGAAGGCGACGCCTTGAAGAAATGAGGTTACGGGATGCTGATCGCCGCTCACAGGTAGAGGAACGCAAGCGAATAATTCAGCAAGCTGAACAAGATCGAAGAGAAGCTGTGATAAGGAAGAATGCTGTAAGTCTGTCTGTGTCTAACTCTGTGATGCCTTGTTCCCAGTGGTCGCAAGGATCGCATGATAGTGGTGCAATGTATAGTTTTCCCAAATATTTTGGATACCTTCAGGTGTTAAAAAGCTCTTATAAGAATACCTGAAACATTTAGTAAATTATTCCAACCAATCTGCTACTGCAAGTGTATTGATGAAGAATCATATGGTACCTCACTTACATTTTTAAAGAGAATGAAAGTTTCTTTCAATGTGTATGGTAGCCCGATAGTTATGATAATAGTGGTAAATCACACGCTTTTATAGCTTTGTGAATTCGTGCTATTTATGCAAGCATGGTTTCCTTAAATAAGATACCTTATGGTTTTATCCTTTTTTTTTTTTATTTTACCCAATTTGCTGTGTTTGTGTAATATCTGGAGACATGTATGGTGGTGCTATGAAGGTTCTAAGTGTTCCTGGCCATGTAACCCCTTGTGGTAGATTTTAGAATATTTATATTGTCAGAGGGTAACCTTGAGTGATGTATCGAAAAGTAAATAATAGTAACGGCTCAAATCTCTACACATACTGATGCTAGATAATACTAGTAGTCTCGATATTGCAGTAAATAAGATGGTAAAGTAATACACTATGAAATAGTAAATAACACATTATGAAGTTTTGTGATTGAGCCAATTACAGTGGTACCTCCATTTACTAATTTAATCCGTTTCCAGAGATGGGTCGTAACTCGAAAATTCGTAACGCGAAACAAATTTTCCCATAAAAAATAATGTAAATTGAATTAATCCGTTCCACACTTAAAAAAATATTAACTTCAAAATACATTTCATATATAATACACACATACATTTTGTACTATAGTATGTACAAGTTATAGCTTACCTTTATTGCTGACTCTTGTTGGCGTATGGAAGATGGTGAGGGAGGGGGGGGGGGAGGTGTTAGTGTTTGGAAGGGGAGTCCCCTTCCATTATGACATCAGGCAGTGATGACTTTTCTGGGGTACTCTCTCTCCTACATTTTGCAGGCATACCACTAGGACCTGGTTGTGGCTCACTGCTTGCTTGTCTTACTAAGAATGTCTAAAGACACTTGTTTCTCCCCCCTACATTTTAACACTTGTATGTAGTGAGACGTGAGACATTGTTATTCAAAGGGTCAATGCAATGGCCTGCTACAGCTTTATCTGGCTAAGTTTTTTCAGCAAAATTTTGCAGTTTTTCCATACTTCACACATTTTCCTAATGAGGAAGGGACATCCTCTACTGCCTCGACTCAAACTATTTTCTTAGGTTGAACCTTACCACTAACTTTCTTGGGACCCATGGCATGATACATAATAATTACTTTTATGTTCAAAAAAAAAAAAAAAAAAAAAAAATGAAATACTTTACAAAGAATTAAAGCATGATCGTCACTAAGCAAGAGAGACACTGGTAAACTGAGGCAAGCCACGTGCTTGGTCGACCCATACAGTATGTGTACGTATCAACAAAGCTGCAAGTAGAGGCAAAGGTCGTAAGTCGAATCAAATTTTCCAACGAAATTGGCGTCGTAACTCGAAAATTCGTAAGTTGAGGTTCTACTGTATATGATTTGTCCCAAGTGCAGTTAAAGGTGAGCTTTAAAATATGAAAAATCTATGTCTTGGAACCTTAGTATATGGCATGTAAATTTTCATCACTGTAATCCTAATAAATACCCAAATGAGTCAGAGAAATTAGAAATAATTTTTCTAACCACCACTAACAACAATCACAGCTAAAGAAAACTGCCTGAAGATCATGGATGAGGCAGCCACAGTGGCAAGGAAAGCAAGGGCCAAGCTCTTAATACTTGGAACTTTCAATTACAGGCAAGTAGATTTGGTAACAAAAGTTCCAAAGAAACAGAGTGTAAAGATAGTGGCTTGAACAGATAAACATTCCTTAAGTTAGCATATCACTAATCAAAGCAAAATAATAAAGGACCGTCTGGCAGTGCTAGATTTATTATTCGTCCAAAATGCGGGAGATAAGAAAATAGATGAATAGTGTAGTTGCCACTGACAATCAATGATTACTGTATTAAAGTATTTATATATATTGAGCAGACGATGGGGGACCAAACCAAGGAATGGGACAAGAACTATGTAAAACAACAAGAGGGAAGATTACCATACAATAAGAAACGACTTGTAGGAGGTTCTTTGGGAAAATGAACTGTAGAGGAAAGCTCATATCTGCTACAGCCCAATTGGTCAGGTACTTCTTGCAGAAAAATTTTCAATTTTTGGAATTCAAGAAAAACTGGACACTTTCCAGCAAGAAGTACCTGACCAACCGGATTGCAGCGGATATATGGGCCTGCTCAAAACAACAGTCTATTGGACCAAACTCTCACAAGTCAAGGCTGGCCTTGCCAGGGTTTGGGTAGTATAAGAACTCCCAGAACCTCATCCAGGTACCAAAAAAGATGATAGTATATGTTGCAAAATATTTTATAGATGCGTACTGTATCAAATATTTATCTCCCTAAGAAGGGAAATAGACAAGAAATGCAGAAGAAATTCGTGATTCAATATGTAGTGCAGGGAAGCAAGGGGTAAAGCCAGAAGGGCATAGAAAAAATAGGGTGATTATAACATAGAGATCACCAAGGAAAAGCTAAAAAGAGCCAGGATTTATTAAATGAAAGTTGGGAGAGATACAGAAAAGCATTTTGAGGATGACATAAGACTAAAGCAAAGAATCACCTGAGGTTGTAAACTCACTTATGGTAAACAACATTTAGAAGTCAATGCCATTAATGTGTGAGGAACTCGACAAATGGTTCTAGGAGATATAGAACCTAAATATATCTAGGCGATATATAGTGCGTGCGCGCATACATGCATGCACACTCACTCACTCTTGCACACTCATTCTCTCACACTCTCACTCTGGAACTGTTCGTTTAGTGTTTCACACATTTCCTTTCCATTTTCTGTGAGTCTGATCCCCATTTTTCAGTCTCTGGATTTTATAATTTATATGCAGCTTGTTTTTAATGAATTTATAGAAAAGGCCTGGTTCTATTTTACAATTGTCCACTACATCTTTCAAAGTTTCTTTCTGCTTCTCTTCGCGCAGCCATACTTCCCTTTGTGACTATGGGGGAGTGAGGCTCTCTGTGCCCTGCCTTCTAGCCTTGTTGTACCTGTTGCATTTTAACTTAACTACTCTGACTTTCAAATTCTTTGTTGAATCAGGCCTTAAAGTTGTAGATGGAGGTAGCTCCACAACTTCTTTTAGAGCATTCCACTTGTTAACTAACTTGTTCAGGGTATGAGTACTTTGTTCCTTCTGCTCATTTGCACTTCCAGCTTCCACCTGTGTCCTCTTGTCCTGCTTTCTCTCAATCTGAGGGGGCTATCCTTGTCTACCTTATCTATTCCTCTCAATATCTTGTACGTTATGATCATATTCCCTGTGTTCCTTCTATCCTCTAGGGTTGTGAGATTGTTTCATTAGTTTGTGTTCATAGCTTAGCCCACTTAGCTCTGGTACCAATCTTGTTGCAAACCTTTGTATGTTTTCAATTTTGGCTGTATGCTTCACAAGGTGTGAATTCATACTGGTGGCGAGTATTCCAGTATTGGTCAAACAAATGTTGAGTACAATGCTTTGAGTTTTGTTGTGTAGTTGTTTCTTGCTTGCTTGTTCTGCTGGGAAGTTAGAGGGTTCCTCGTCCTATATTGAAGCAATTTTTATTTTCTCCTCCTTTACTGGCTCGCCCTCACAATTTCTGTTGAACCAAACTTTCTGGTTTTACATCTCTGTTTTGGCATAAACAAAATTTGTGACTTCATTGTACATCTCATTTACTGCCTTGCCTAACAATTAGTCGTGTGTGTATTTTTGTTTTTTTTGGGTGAATGTATGTGAGAGGAGAGGGGTTTGGAGAGCAAGTGAGAATGTGTGAATTATATAATGCACATACCTGTACATGCATATTCATATATAAATTGTGTTAACTCTAGCACAGTTTAAATAATTGGCTAAACAGACTTATGCTGGTATTATTTAATTTGAAATTTACAGAATGTGAATTTGTATACATTAAAGATTCCAAAGCTAAATTATATTTCTAGGTAGAATACCACCAGATGAAATTGGGACCACATAAACCTTTTACTATTGACAATGAGAACAAGACATTAGTAATGCAGGTAACACCATGTACTGTTAATTATTGGATGCTTAAGTTTGAGTGCACAACAAAAACACTCATACGCATGAGTTATCTAAAATATAAATAGGTTTTGAATCTACACAGATTATGTAAACCATTGAACATTACAAACAGGAGCGTGAACATCGCCTTGAATCCAAACGACGCAATGAAAGGAGCAACATTGTGTTCGCATTTGGCAGCTCTACCCCTCGGATGCTGGACCCCAAAGACAACTCTACTAATGCATCATACTGGAGCTCACGCAGGTCACTCTCACTGTTGATTTTTTGTTTTTTTCATTTTTCTGTTAAGAATTAAGAGTTCTGTTAAGAACTGTGTTTTAGCACAAGGAAGAAGTATGTATTGGGATTCCTTGAGTCAGGAATAGTACATGTAAGTACATTATTGTATTGTAGCTATATTCCTTTTTATTACTTTATATAATGTCTAAAATTATTATTTTGCAAGTACCATACAGTATACCTGATGTTACGAAAGTAATAAACGGTATTATTTTTCATCAGTACTGTACTATATTAATTGTTGGAAAAAATGTGATACACTGTATACAGTGTGGTTTTTAATTCATAGTTTTGTCATCTTAACAGTAGGCATGTTTATGAATTCTCTTTCTACCTAATTGTCTTATTATATATATGTGATGTATTGTTTTATAGAGCTACCTCAACCACCAACGTTCATCTTGTGGATGCGTCCATCACACGACGTGCATCAGAGTGTAGTGACATGGATCTGAGCCGAAAGCGAGCAACTTCAGCACAGAGTCTTGACAGGAAACCAGAAGGTAGAAAGACTTGTATTTTTATATCTCTAAAGGTTTTTTGTCTTGAACCAGTTATACCTACATATGTTGGGTATACTGTATACCAAATTTGCTTAAGGGAGAACAGTATAATTTATGGAGCCATTATAGTAAAAACATTCAATAATCGAGATACAGGTATCATTTTACACAACAGGGCACATTATGTACTCGGTATTCTAAGCATTTTCTTCCTGGCACTAGTTTCATTCATTATGATTGTCTCAAGATTCTTTTGGGGCTGAGTCTTCTCACTAAGATAACATAATTATCTATATTCAGTATTGCAACTTATATAAGTTCTTGAAAAAAACCATGCCATATATTGTTTATTTTGCTCAGCATTTCTCATTTAATAAATTAGCTCATGGAATACTGATTTCCCTCAAAAAAGCCATGATTGTAACATCTTTTATATTCTGTGTCCCCTCCAAGCATCTATGGTATTTATATTGTGATTGGTGTAAAATACTGTACTGTATTGTCCATTTAATTTTTGCCTGTTATTTATATTAGCATAGATACTTCAAGATGCAAGCCATGTTAAACTTTATTATTCCAGTTCCTTGGAAAATGATCATCATTACCAAGTTACTGTATAAGAATAAATGATTGAGTGTTTTTTTAATTTGATGTGGTCGAGTCTGTGCTATGTATGGACATTTTATGACCTTCCAATAAAGAATTGAACCAACTTATTTCCCAGAATAGAAGCTGTTGCCAGGAGAAAATAGGTTTTGGGTATAGGGAGTGTGCACCAGCGTCATCAAGTACATTTTGTTCACATTTTGTCCTGGCAGTGATGTTTGCTAAAGCTTGCCATTATAACGTGATCGATGGTTAGCAATGTGGATCTGACCCGATGTGTTCTCAAATTTTTTTCACGGAATAATAATGGTCTTGACATGTGGCAATAAGAAAAACTATATAAATGACAATTATGATATGAAGATGTAAAAAAAAAAAAAAAAAATTAAGTAATTAAATTAAATTGCCCCGTTATAATGTTGATATATAATGTATTCTTTGATCAGATTGGAGCAATTTCTATATTGAAATTTCCAATTCAGTATTACAATTTATATTAATAAAATCAATCTATGGGGCCCAAATATGGCAAGAGGTAATCGATGAGAGTGATAGAGGCAGTATTCCACAATGCAACACATGCTAGACAATTAATTATAAGTTAAAGTATTATTTTAGAGAACTGGATGAGCACATGTTGGCTACAATATTTTAATCACTAGTACCACACCTTTTTGGCTTGTGACTATATGATGAAACAAACCTATTAACTTATGATATAAAGTTTTAAAATTACCGTTATGTAAAATGTGTAATTAATAATTAAATCACTCGGATGAAACTTTAATTACAGAATTCACCCAACAGCCTTCATGCAATCCATTACAAATTGAACACAACTTGCTTTGTCACATTTTTAGTTGTGTGAGATTGCAGTACTGACTGGAAAATTCTTAACTGCACGTACTATTTTATCATAAAATCATTATTACCCCATTTCCCTGAAACTTGAAAGATGGGTTACAAAAATAGCTTATATTAACCGTGTGCTATCCTGCCTCTAATTTTCCATATACACCCCAGATCATGTCCGTTATGACATTGCACAACATGAAAGTACTGTATTAAAAATTAGTATTTTAGTAGGATATAAGTAGGATATAAGTAGGAGAAAAAATGAATCGCAATGAATAGGTAGATGTGTGTTCAGCAGTCATATGATGACATAATGTTCATACTTGGCAGTCGCATATTATAAAATAATTATGCATATTTAGCACCAAGAGTATACCATGCCATTACACGCATACCTAGCATCGTTATAGTGTGAAGCTATGTGCATACTTGGCAATTTCATATATCGGAAAGTTGTGTTCATACTGTAATAAAGTTTCAGTGTATCTCAACGTTTGGTGCACTCTCGCTATAAAAAACATTTCCCCCTCTTATAAAGAACATACCAGTATCCACCCAACCAATATATTCCTTTCTTTGCTATATTTATCATTAGATCATTGGGTAGGAGTTAGCGAAGAAGGGGTCTTTCTCAGATTTTTTAACACGTGTTACAAAGTTCTGTTTTTTCCTTCGGAGGCAGATGTGGTCAAAACTTTGTACTCTATTCTGGATGTTTATTTTGCAAAAGGAAAAAATATGCCTTTTATAAATTTATTTATTGGTAATTTTAGGATTTTTTATTCAAATTCCAGAATTATTATTTCAAGACAATCAGACTTGTAGATGAACTGTTAACTTAAAGGGAAGTAGGTTTATGTTTACATACAGAATTACTTTCCAGTATTCATTGCTAAAAAATCATTGCTTTACATGTGATTATGAAGCAGAATAATTGGCTGAAGTTAATGAATTAGTCTGAGGTGTTGTAGATGGTTCATACTCTGTATCTAGCAATGTTTTGCAAGTTATTATTTCAGTGTTGATTTAAAGCTCGTAATTAAGCAAATTTTTTTTATACTTTGCTTAATTTTTTGTTAGGCTTGTGCATAAATCATAAATAATAATTCTAAATTGTCTTTAGTAGAATTAGTAAATAAAGTAAGTTTTGTCAGTTCTTTAGTTTTACAACAATTCAATTTACATAGAACTTAGATATTTTAAAATTTGTTTTAGGTAAATGACCATGCTTGATGTTTCCTAATTTTCTCAACTGTAATGAGCGTGTTCCACCAGGGAATGGGAAAAACATTCTTCTGGGAGATATTGGGTGTACTACTGCAACACCGACAACAATCACTTGTAGCCACAATAGTAGGAAACATGCCACACTATCAAAGCCTGTTGAGCCTTGCAGCTAGGTCTGTGGGTGCCACTCTCTGCCCATCGTACCACATCAAACACTATTAATTTTGGAGCTTTCCACTTTTTGACATTCTCAGAGGGCTATGGTCAAAGTCACTAATCCGAGCTTTTTGGTGTATAAGGTTCACAAAAATACTGGAGGCATAAATTACTGCAACCTATACTAGGTGGTGGAGGTCTCATTTCACTCTTATGCCATGCACTCTTTACTCTAAGTCCTGGAGATGAGTGCTTTATCTCTGGTTTCATATTAGGTTTTATGCATTACTTCAGAATTTGATTTTCTCCAATCTCATGCATTTTTTTACTTAAATATATATTGTTTAGATTAATAAAAATGGTAATTGTTTTTAAAATTACATCTGAAAATGCACAAAGTTATTTGCACAATAAATTAATTCAGAGCACATTTGGGTTTGGAATGGCAATATAAGCACTCGCTCATTTCACATACTGAATTTTTGCACAATATCTCCAGTCATATAAGAAGATTGCTTTATCTGTTACTACACAAAAATCAAGTTGCAACTGCCTATGCTAAGCTGCACCCTGCATGTCTGTTCAACAGTGTCACATTGTTGTTACAGACCTGCGTATGTCAAGCTCGATGTATGAAGTGTTTCACTGGGATGAGAGCAGCAGCTCTCACCAAAACCATCCTCCTACTACCCAAGGTACCCGGCTGACCAAGTCTCGTGACTCGTCACTGGAACGCAAGACCCCACCTACTGCCCTTACATGGGTCAGATCCTCCACTCCTCAGCCTATTAAGTCATCTTCTCTTCCCCTTTCTTCCAAAGAGACCCCTATTCATCCTTCTTCCACATCATCCTCATCCTCGGATAAAACCCCAACAAACACATCCCAATCACGCTTCTGTGTATGGGAGTTTGGGGATAACTTCACTGCACTGGGTCCCGCAAATCAAAATAGCGGCGGTAGCGGCAACCCGGCCTCTTCCTCACCGGCTTCAACACCCACATCTTCCACGTGCTATTCTCGTAGAACTGCTTCTGTATTTACTGGGGCTGGGTGCACTATTGGTGGTGAGTTTGCAAGCTGGCTAACCCAAGGATGCTTCGTGAAGGAATGCTCTACTAGTTGATGTTTTACTTTTAACAGCCGAGAACTGTTTTCATTGCTTTTTTTCACATTTATAACCCTTTAACTTACAATTAGTAGTGTTTTGTGGTATTGGCTGAGCTCAGTAAGCTTGAGAAATTCATAGTATTCATATATACTTTCAACTAACCTCCTTAGAAAGGCATCTGGAGATATGAACTCACATTAGACATCTTTGGCATGAATAATATAGATAACAAGAATGAACTACTTACAATAACCTCTTAGAAGAATCTTTTAACTGGGTTGCAAACTCTTAAAAGGTGGCTGTATGGTGAAACCCATTATTTAACAAACTTACACAATTAGTTATGCATATTTGCGATAATTGGTTCGTCGGGGATAATGGGAAATTTCATTAAATAGTTTGCTTTGAATCTGGAGTTGACCCAGTCTTTCATAGCTTTATCTTTTTTTTTCCTCCATTTTAGTAGCTTGTTTTCTGTTGTTTAAGCATGTTTTTTTATCATTTGTTGAAGCACGTTTTTGTATATTGTCGGTAAGTGTGAGCTCCTTATTTATTTTCAGATGCCATTTTAGTTGTTTAGTCATTAACTTAATTTGTTGACTGTGTTTCTGTTCCTTTATAGTGTATCTTAGTTGCATAACAGGCCAACCTTCATAATGAGCATCAGAAGTTATACAAAGGCTTTGTCACTATATTTTTCTTTATATAAAGACAAAGTATCTTGAAACTTGGTACAATTGTCTTTTATTTTTTGTTGCGTTAAAAAAAAAGTTTATAACTTTTCTGTTCCAAAGGGGGAAGGGATTTTGAACTTAAATTTTTATCCATTATTTGATAATTGTTATAAAACAAAATGTATTTTAAGATGTCAAGATATGGTACTGAAAAGTGCAATTTACTGTGTGACTAAAACTTATTGGGTTACAGCTATAGTTTGACATATATTTGAACAGTGACAAAGTCTACTAGCTTGATGTAAAAAAAGAAAAAAAAAAGTGCAATTATTTGCTCTTACATGAAGTTTACCTGTTTGAATCCATCTTGCAGATAAAAAAAAATCTATACATGTTGAAGGTATATTTATATACTGTATATGCATATGTGTGTGTGGGTGATTGTATGTGTGCTCGCGCGCACATGTGAGAGAGAGAATTAATCATATACAAATGTGAGGTATATCTCTAAAATAAAAATAAAAACTACTTTCAGTTCAAGAGCTGATCAATTTTCAGTTGAAGACTGCTATGTGTATTTATTCACTTTCATTTTGTCGATACTTCCAGAAGTAAATTTTTCTTCTTCAAGGTGCCTCTTTAATTCTGGAAGCCTTTTGGATATTTAAATTGTTTTTCTATTCATTTATCAGGCATGTGACATCATACATTTGAAACACTGTTGTTGTTGCAAACTTTACACATCATACATATTGATGTGTTCATTTGTAATACTTATTTTTGGGTAGAATAATTTCATATTAGCATCTCTTATACTTTCAGACATATTACATATGTTACAGGAGTTCATTAACCAACATTTTGGGATCTTGAATGTTTTTTTTGTGTATGCTTTATATATTAATAGTTTTTGTTTAAAAGATGAACTAATTTTTAATTGTAATTAAAGTTAATATTAATGATTGTTATATGTACCTATTGATGCACAGTAGTCGGTTATGTTATGATGCTCATTCTTGTAAGTAACGCTCTACCTTTTGTTGGTTTTCTGAACCTAATCCTTGAACTGGTAATAGTTTCTCATTTAGTTTGCTGTGAATCTTTTGTTATTTATATTTTTAATTTTTGCAATACAGTACTTTAAACTTTTTTCAATGTAACAGGTGAAGACCTTATGACAAGATCAATGACTGCAGCCATCCCAGCCTCTGCAGCAAGACGACGCACAGACTTGATACCAGCAATGCCATCTCTACGTGACTCGACAGGCGCCAACCGTAGCAGTCCACGCCACCGATCGCCAGGTAGGGCGTTGTCTCTTGGGCGGTTGGATGAACTGGCCCGCCCTCGCCACCGCAACCCCCCTCTTGCACCCCTGCATGAGACTACCCCTTCCTCCGTGCGCATGAGTCAGCCTGCCCGCACCATATCCAAGAGCATGTGTCACCTGGGCCCACGACCTGCTCGACCCCAGACTCTGGAAACGACAAATGGCCAATTGGACAGAGGGGTCTCCCGCAGCTCTGTCACTCTAGTACAACCACGCATGACTCGTGCCGAGATACTTAGGCAGAAAAAACTGCGGGGAAATCCCGTGTCCTCCAGTACTGACAGCAATAGCAGAAATACGAAGAGTACCTCTCCAGGTCAAGGTAAGTTGCATGTCAGGTTTGGGACTCAGACTCGGCTTTTCCAACATTCGACCAGCAATCCTCAATTTGTACATCATTCCCTTACACAGTGATACTCCATTACTTTTTTTTTATATATATATATATAAATAAAAATCTGGGTTAACATGGCATCCTAACTATGGTATCTACTGCATGATCAAAATGCTAATACTGTACAGTGGTACCTTGACTTACGACTGTCCCTACTTACAAAATTTTTGAGTTATGGTGTAAATTTCGTCAGAAAATGCGACCCGACTTACGACCTTTGCCTAGACTAACGACTTTGTTGATACGCGACTGGGTCGACCGATCGTGTGGTTCCTGGTCGCATGGCCGACCTGGCCTCGGTTTACCAGAGCCACCCACTTAGTGATGATCGAGCTCGTAAAGAATTTAATTATTTTTGTTCTTTTTATTTTTTTAATATAAAAGTAATTATAATATCATGTCATGGGTCCCAAGAAAGTCAGTGGTAAGGTTCAACCTAAGAAAACATGTGAGGATAACCATAGAGCAAAAACAAGATCATTCATAAACATGAAGATGGTGTGCGGGTTGTTAAACTAGCTAGACAGTACAGTACAACAAATCTATATCAACGATATCCACCATACTTACTAAAGAGTGGAAGGAAGAATAAAAAAGGAAGAGTGCTAAAGTGGCAAAAGGCGTATCAATAATCACGAAACATAGAACACAAACACTTGAGGATGTTGAACAGTTATTATTACTGTAATTTGGATGCACAACAAGGAGTTAGCAGGTGATAGTATTTCAGAGGCCATCATTTGTGAAAAAGCAAGGAAATTGCAAGATCTCATAAAGAACACCCCTGGAATGAGTAATGTAGATGCAAGAGAGTTTAATGCGAGCAGGGAGATAGTTTGAGAAATTTAGAAAAAAAAGTGGCATTCATAGTGTTGTGAGAGTAGCATGTTGTGAGTTGGAGAAACACAGCGAAGAACTGACCACCGAAGAACTAACCCTTCACTCGCAAAGAGCAGTAATAAGAGACGGCTGAGGAAATTTCTTCAGGGGAGGAGGATGCAGAACAGAATGTCCCTTCCTCAACAATTAAGAAAATGTGTGCAGTATGGGAAGAACTCCAAAGTTTGGCTGAAACGACTCGCCCAAATCAAGCCATTGCCTTAACCTTTTTAACGACACTGCGATGCATCACTACAGACAAATGTTAAAAAGTAGGGAAAAACAGATCTCCATGGAAAGATTTTTAGTGAGAAAAACGAGCAGTGAACCTTGGCAGGCAAAACGTAGGAGAGAGTGAGTACCCCAGAGAAGTCATCACTGCCTAATGATATAATGGAAGGAAACTTCCCTTCCAAACACTAATACCTCTCCTCCTCACTGTCTTCCATACACCGAGAGTCCTCATTGAAGGCAAGATATACCTACGTACTGTACTGTATTGTAGTGTTATTCGTTATAAAATGCATTTTTAAGTTAATATTTTTGTGGGTGTGGAATGGATTAATTCAATTTACGTTATTTCTTATGGGAAGATTCGTTTCATCTTACAAATTTTTTACTTACGACCCATCTCTGGGAACGAATTAAATTCGTAAGTCGCGGTCCCACTGTATATTCAAAAAGTTACGTTGGATTTTTTCTAAAAAAAATTTAATTATCATGGGCAAAGGCGAAGTACAAAGACTTTGTACTTCTTAGTTTTTAAACAATTATATCCTACAGTTTGATGATAGTTTTGTAATGTATAGTATATCGTGCAGTATGTAAATACTGTATCAGTTTGTTTATAGGTATTTGATTTCTCAACATTATTCAAATGGCTCCTGTGCATCATTAGTGGTTATTCGAACAACATTTTTACTGAATGCCCACTAGTCTTAATAAGTGCTAGATTGCAGCATTTTCACTTGTTGCCATTGTTTCCATTTCTTGTACAATCTTTCTGGGGCCTGTTCACTTCCTTCTCTGTACTACTACTACTGTTTTAACCAATGAGAAGTGTTGTTACCTTTACATACTTGTGTTACTTTGATGCTGCCTCCAGCCTTGATATTCACTTGTATAACCTTCTCTTATTACTCCTGAAATGTTTTCTACACAATGTGAAGTTTCTCTTACTCTTACACAGAAATTAACTAGTCTATGGACTATTACATTCAGTAATAATAAATATAATAAAAACTGGGAAAAAGATATTTGGTCATCAGCTTATAAACACATTCATTATGGTTCACCTGTTAAGCTCACTCACACTCTCCAGTCTAGAGCATTATCATCTTGCCATCTTTTTCCATTCCTTCCTAACCCTGTATCACTTCATATTTTCTTGCTTTCTTCCTTTCTACCCTACTTTTTCTTTCTCCCATTTCCTCTCTCCCTCTTTACCCCCCTCCCCCTCTCTCATACACACAGCTACAGCCACATCCCTGGCTTTTGTGTTCAGCAAGTTTACTTCTGCACCTTTCCATCATATATGGCCACACAACACTCTCAGTACTGTGTATAATTTCAGATACTGTTTCTTTTTTCTAATCCTAGGAGAGGGCATTATACCGTCTCCTTTTCCATCTTGTAACCTTTCTGTGGAATAAACTACCGCCCTAATCTTTTATGATAGCTTTGTTCTTGAAACAGTGGTGGTGTCAAGGAGAGGTGAGGGGTGTTGTACATCTCCGCTGAAATGTGAAAACCTTCCTCTGCCTCAAAATCTTTTATTAACAATCGTTTATCCAAGGCATGTGTTCAGATTGCTCATTTAAGCAATGTTTGCGGATCATTTTACACACAACAAAATGAGCACACTGGCAGAGAGGATAGTGATTAATTGCCATGACGGTGAATTGCATGCCTCATTTTCTTCACATAAGGTAGTCTGGTGGCCTAATGGTGCTTTCCAATTATCTCCAGACAAATAAGATTGTTTTTATCGGCAGAGATTTACAACAAGTTATATTATCTTTATCTGTGGATATTTTATTTCTTAAATCTTTGTCTTATAGCATTTGAAATATTGCATCTTGTTAAAGTCACTTGGAACAGATTTGTTATCCATATGCAACTATACAATATTCAGTTAATAACAGCTAGAATTTTCCCCCCAAAATGTGCATAGCTCAAAATATTGCTTAGGGATATAATAATAATTAATCTTTCTAACCGAAGCTAATAATTTGTGTTGCCTGTTCTAGGAAAAAGTCATTGATTTTATCTATACTTTAATTGCTGTCCACATTTGATACTGCATTTTTACATTGAAGTCTGGGTCCCAGCCTGATTTTTATCAGTTGCATCGATGGCTTCTTTGCTTGTGTGGAAGAGTTAGCTTCATTCTGCTTCATGCTCATCTTATAAATTTGAGATGGAGTCATTCTGATAGTACTGCCAACCAAGTTATTAAGTGTACACATGTTTCATGGCATAGTTTAAAAGGTGCTTATGTGTTAAATTTGTGTATGAAAGGGTAAAGGCAGTTGATGTACTTGCATATTCTTAGCTTGGCAACAGTCGTGAGAGTTTTGGTGTACTGTCGTTAGAGAATGAGAGTGGTACAATAGCAAGAAGTTACAGAATAATTATGGAAGATAATCTGAATGGTAAACTAGGAATGATGTGATGCATGTACATAGTGTCTCCGAAATAAATGACAATGGCTGCAGACTTACACGGTATGTGCAATACATTGCTACGTATATACAAATGTACATAGTATTGTGTGTGTGTTTTGTGTTAAAATTATAGGAGAGAGAGAGACTTGCTAATGATCTCGTGGAAAGGCGTTATTTTAGATTCAGCTACTCGGAACAAAAAGTTCCAAGTAGCACGGGCTGTGGTGAGCCTGTACACGGAAAGACGCATATTTAAATGTATGATACAAAAGTAATAATAGAAATATATGGTAGATTTTATAAACGCATGATAGTGTTCAGCCATTATGACTATATAGCACTTGGAAGGAATAAGAATTTAGGTTAGGACCAAGGGAAGGAATGGTGCCCAACCACTTCAACAGCAGAGAATGGAATGCCTAAGTGCAAGAAGCGAAATCGTCGCTCTTCTGTCCAGTCCTAGTGGTGGGTTTCATGGAATGGTACTGTTCATCCTTGTGTATTGGTGCCAGATACTGGTGTAGCATGAACTTGCAATATCATAAAGCTAAAGAAATTGAAATAGACACTTTAACAAGCAAGTTTTGTGTTAAGGGGTTGGATAAAGCAAAGAATGAAAATGTCATGGCAATTTATGGTGTGCAAAAGTGAGAAAAATCTAAAGATTGAAGAGCATATTTAATTAAAGATGGTTTGGCTGTATTGAATGATAATGATGGTTTAAGTGAACTTAAGTGGAATGCCAAGAAGAGGCGAGAAGGGTGGCACACATTATGCATGTGTAAGAAAGAGGGAATGTGAAGACCACACAAGAAGCAATCGTGAAAATGAAAAGTGTGTGAAAGAAATGGGGAATAGAATTGTGTAATTTGGATTTTTTTTAATACTGCCCTTGTCTTCCCCAGGCAAATGCCTCCCCATCCAAATGAAAGGGGAAAACAGGATAATAAAGATGATAATGATCTTCAGGAATAATTACATGGAAAGGGAAACAATAATTCCAAGAGAGCACTTTCATGTATTAGTCTGACAAGAAAAATGGTGGCTCACAATTAGAATTGGTGTCAATACATAGGCTCAAAATTGTTGTTTCAATAATTTTTTTGTATTTTCTGCGTAATTGAATCACGTGTGTTGTAATTATTTTGTGTGTGTGTGTGTACACGTATTTACATATGTTCTTGTCTAGTTTTGTTTGCAGGGTTCAAACTTTAGCTCCTGGGCTGCCTGTATTAAGAGTGCAAGTTACGATAATTAATTTGAGAATGAGAGATTGATATGGAGTTTACAAATACTGTAGATGAAATGTGGGATTTGTATATATATAGACCCTACTGGAAGCTTCAAACCCTTGAATGACAAAGATTTTAAAGATGACACGAC